GGGCGTACGTTTGTTTGCAGAGTCGTTGAGTACTTTTGGTGGGACATTTGACCAAAGGATGCAGCTGGCAGGTCTATACTTCTCCCTCGACCGTGGGTCCCATCTTGAGGATGTGATTTAGCGCCACCTTGCCGTCAGCATCAGGGTCCTTGACCGTTTACTCTTCTCTGCAGTGAGTGCCACTTTATGACCGGGTTTCATGTTCATGTAGTTCGCCTTTGCCATTTCGGGAAGCTAGAATTCATTAGTTTATTGTGCAAGCACTCTATCTGTCACTCCAAGGTAGGCCACAGAGCTCAACTTTGAGCAACTTCTGGATCACTTTAAATTTTGTTAGGCTACTTTAAAGGATCATTTAATAGGGAAAAGAATTGTGTGCTAAAAACGCCGATTGCATCGTGCATTGAGGATGATGCTGACTGCTTTTCTCACATGTCATCTTGCTTTGCATCATCATTTGGATAATCTCGATCTCTGCCATAAAGCTGGACTCTATCCGCAAAACGGATAACTTGGGGATGAAAACTGATGAGCTCTACCAGTTAAGCACCCAGTTACTGATAAAAGAGACCATGGCATCACTATAATTAGTACGGTAAATCCAACCCATCAGACACATGAGGGTAGAGGCCTTGCCCCCTGCTACAGACCGATGAAATATCAAAAGGCGGAAGCACCCTATTTATACGCAAAGCCTTGTCTACTACGCACACTCATTTACATATCCAGAGCAAACTCAATGGTAACTCTGGGTCAGCAAGTGAATGACAGGTACATATTAAGATACAGCATAAACCACAAATAACAAGTTACACATAAGCCACTATAATGGTGACCAGAAAGTATGCATAAAACAGTTGCCAAAGCGGAAGGCAAATTTTTCACTTCAACTCTTAAGAAGATTTGTGACAAGTAATATATAGCTTTAAAAAAGTCACAACCACTGAAAAAGCATATCTACACTTTGAATTAGATGCAAATCTGCTTAAGAAATGCCTGTCAACAGAAGGTGCCATCATTTGACGTTCTGGTATCCTGCAAGATTATACGTCAGGCCATACACGCACACACACACAAGCAACACGTCGCTGATGTCATATAGGAGAAACGAACAAGCCAATCATTGTTCTAACCTGGCGTGGCGGAGCGAACCCCTTCGGGCTGATCAGGTTGCCGCGGACAGTGGAGGTGTCAATGTCGCCAAAGCCGAGGATTTTGTAACGGTTGGCGCGTCACTACCACCAAAATATAAGCGAAAATAATGTTCAGCCTCTGCCAATGCTATCGCCACCCCGAGGCAGGCATTAAAGTAGCCATACCCCATAATTATGTAGTAGTTTCGGAGCGAAAGCCATTTAAATACCTGCCCAATACTTGTAATAACATTGTGACTGCTTGAAGGTCTGCAAGCCAAACGCGCCAATCTAATATGAATTTCATGGAAAAATTCTTTTTACAGAAACGAAAGCTGAGCGACTTTTTATTGAGTGATCAACTTCCTGTTAACAAAATCGAATAGGAGTCAAATTTTATGACAGCAATTCTACATTCTTATTAGCTAGGCAGAATATCTACAATTTGAGCCATTACCTGTTGACTATCTAAAGGAAATCATAAAAGACCCGATTTAACTAAATTAATAATCTTACCCAGGTCTG